GGGGGGTTGCGAGTCTGTACAAAAGACAATTTTTATAATGAACGAATCCTTCAAGACACTGAACGCAGCTACCGGCGTCCGTGGTGTAGCGGTTAGGCGCTTCACCGTCGCACGTAAGAGAAGGGAATTCGATCCACATGTGGACAACATGTATCTTGAAACTCGGTCTTTCTGCTTGGACGTTATACCTCTCTCTGCCCTTGTTGAACCTGGCAAGGAGAGTTGAAGCAGCCCGCCTCCTATATGATCTAATTAGTGTCAATGGTGGCATAAAACTTCTACAGCTACATAAACAAGGCAGTTCAAATAATATAAAAGAGGAATATAAAGTCAAATATATCGTCAGCAGATGGTTCTGTCAAAGGTGATGGGCTTTGAAGTTTACTGTACCTGATAAGCGTCTATTCATTAACGTTTCAAACTCGTAATCGTGAAACTGAGGGTTCGGGAGACCGGGGTTGGCTTGGTCTGAAGTTGTGTCCTGGGGAAGGGACTTAATAGGAATGTTCCTATTTGGCTCGATCATATCGGAGATGGACGTTAGATTCGGAAGTCCTGCCTCTTAAATAACCTAACAGTTTTGCAAGTTGCAATAAACGTATAGAGTTTCATTTCATTAATTACCTGATAAGCATCTGGCGCAGTCGGACAAAATCACAATGGTCAGGATTGTCCACTGAGGAAAAGTCAAGAAGTCATGATTATGGTTTGAGAGATGCATCGATGTGACATGTTGTTTATTGCAAGTTATTATTATCCTTACTCATATTCAGGGTGATCCAAAACATCTTTTTAAAAGTAGCCTAAACTTTAATGTTATTTATACCGGCATCGGGGGCTCTCGTGGCCTAGAGGTTAAGGTGTTGGCCTCTCATTCAAAGGTCCCGGGTTCGAATCCGGGTTGGGACGGATACAAATCTCTTCTCTAAAATGGTATCCTTTCCTTCTCTCCAGCAATGTTCTGTCGTCTACTTTCGTCTCCACTTTCTGCCCCCACGTCCATTGCCCTCTGCCTTTGGCTCCTGACTCTTTCTGCAGCCTTTCTACTGCTACTCCTTTGCTCCTTCTTACTGCTATTCAAGTCAGCAACGAACGTCATCTTATTACGATATTTTTAAACAAACTGGAAAATACCATAGTCACAAATACCACGCAAAACCCGAACTGAACATTACATGTCATTATTATAGTGCGGTCAGAAATTTGTTGTGCAACTTACTGTGAAATATTTCTACAATTATGGGAACATAAAGTCTCCACTTTTTGCACCATGACTTGTATAAATTTGTCTTAATTAACATATCGATATTTTAAAACACCTATTAGCTGTATTCAAGAAAATTCCTTAATAATTACCTATTAAACATCCCAGGGGGTAGTTTCTACAGATTTTAAAAGGTGGGAGAATATAACATTTTAAAGCAAGTCCATCCTTTAATTCTAATCATGACATTAAGCTTATAAAGGTTGAGAACCTTCAGAGCAAAAAAGTGTTTGCTATCAAATTAATTTCTTGCCAAACGTTTTGCCACTAAAAAATGTCATTGTGTCATTGGTTATCTTTGACATAATCCATATGTTTGTGAAAAGCAGGAAGTGCTGGAAAAATCCCATTTTCTGCGTTACGGTGTATTGTATATAAATCTGAGAACAAGTTTTTTTAAAGGGAGTG